TAATATTTTTTCATTATCTAATTGACGGACTAATTAGATTTTTAATTTTGATACCCTAGAAACTACCCAATTATACCGTCTTTGTTACAAGAACATATTAAGAAAAATACTTGAATTGGTCTAGTGATATACCTTGACAAATAGAAAAAAAGGCATAAGATTATTTATCAAATGTGCAGTAACAAGAAGTAGCAGCAGTATTGACCTTCGTACACCATTTCTTTCGACCACAAGTTGGTGGTTCATAAATCCCCATTTCAACCCAAGGACTCTTAATTTCCGTAGTAATTATCGCGTCGATTATAGTTAAAACTGATATAAAAGTAAGTATTATAAACAAAGAAATCAGCATTCTATCAACCATTGGTAAATATTTTTCGAAATTTATGGCGATTTTGTAAATCTTCATATATTTATGTTCCTTTAAAACTTCGCAGGGTGTGTCCATTATGACCAACGGTATGGACAGACAGAGCACAGATGCGATTATCGTCATTAATATTGAGATGCACAGGTCCAATTTTGGGTCAGTCTTCAGTTTTGGGTTGTAAACCTTCTTTGGTTTTTTTTTCAGTAGAAACATCATCAGTTTTTCTTTTTGTGTGTATAATTCATCTAGTTTGAAGTATTTTATCAGCCTGCGAAATAATGGATTTTTTTAATATTAATCATTGATAGTTTACATGGTGGAATTTTGTAATGTTACCTGAAGGGATAGTACTCTCAAATACTTTAGGTGCTTTAACCATTGGGTCAACCATTAAATAAATAATTACATATTTCCTTATTGATCCGAACCCGAATAAAAGTATTTTTTTAAGGGGGGAAAATCATCGAATCACAGCTGCCGCCTGGGTGAGGCGGAAGGGAGTGTCAGACTGACTAAAAACCACCCCGTTCCTTCTCCTGCACGTCGAGCCGGAGCCCCGGTTACCCGTTAGGTTCTCCGCGACAAGCAATAAAAGTATAGGGTGCAAATTTTATGGATTTTAGTCGGTTCGATTACCGAGTGTCGCAAAGCAAACGAGTTTTTAAAAACCTATAACTGCCGTTTTAATTCTTTTCAAAAATAAAGGAATATTTTCTTTGAGAACAATTTCCTATCTAAAGTACCTCTATTAAGAGTACTCCTCCTTCAGATGGCATTACAAAATTCCATCCTGGATATAAAGATAAAGGACGAAAGTAGAAACAGAATACAATAGAGGCCTGCTTTGGGATAGGTATGGGCTCATGATGATATTATAGAAGTGTGAATTTTTTGCTAGTTTATGTAACTATAGCAACTGCGCTGCAAACAATACAGTAGTGACAAGGTGTTTTATGCTACTAAAATAACACGTTTTCACAATTAAATTTTAATGCAAATGGAAAATGAATAAAAAAAAGTGATAATTAACTGACACAGGTAGTTTTTATAATAACTATTGTGAGACATACTAAATTAACTAAAAACCGCGGGTTACTCATGTGAAAATACTGAGAAAATGTGTACTACTTTCGAACCACAGAGGGAATGTCGCCACGACCGCGCACGCTGCTCATGAGGAAGAACCCCTCTGTGGTTCGAAACTAGTAGAGCTTTTCTCAGTATGTTCACGTATGTAACCGGCGGTTTTTTGGTTAACACATAGATAGATTGAGAAAAAAACAGAAGGTATGGCAAGAATCCATGTGCAGTAGACGTCAAGAGTAACAACACAATAATTAAATTGACACAAAACTAGACAGAAGAAGTAATAACAAAAACCAACTTACTTAACTACAGCTAATCTGTAGAAAATCATCTTGATTAAGTATAAAAATGCACTGCAAATCTAAACACTGTATTTTCAAATGATAAAATTTTCAATATAAAGATATTCAAGTTTTGAATAATCTTAAACTCGCGTCTGTTGAGCAACTGATTTAAAGGCTATGTTTGAGTCGGTGGACTTGATATCACCAATGATAGGTCAGTCATTAATAATTAATTAAGAAACTATAGACATATTACCTATTCATTTTAAGCCGTTAAGTTATTAATGAATTAGGGCATAAGGTCTAATATTTTGTGATCCATTTGGAATATCACCAGTTGTACTAACTGCGCAATATTAGGTACTTTGTAGTATATTCCTAATCTAGCTAACTATGTAAAGTGTCGAATTATAAATAGCAGCGGATTTCAATCGAATTTGTCTGCTCGGTTGGTGCAGTTGGGCAACTGGCTGTCGCGCAACATGTCGCGGATTCAAATTCAAATTCAAATCACTTTAATACATCTATAGTGTGTACAGGGTGGTTTACAATTTTTGACAAAATATGTTCCAACTATAGGCCCTTTTGGGCACCGCAAAAGTACTTACTCTACTTACAAAGTAATATTTTTTAATTAATGCAATATTTTAATTATTTCAAATCTTATATAACTATTTTTAAGAATATGTTTTAAAGTTACAAACAAAAATTAAAATATTTGAACTTATTACCTTAATATGGCACTAAAACATTATAAAAACTACAATAATCACTTACATACCAATTTTAATATTGCACTCCAATACTTCCCCCCATGGAACAACAATTATTCCCCCATGGAACAACTCTTTGTATGAACAATTCACAGATTCTTGTTGCGGGTCTAGGTGGCATGTGTATGTGAACTTGTATATTTGTACACGTATTCACGAAACAGGAGAAAGTCCTAGTGTGGGACAATGTTTTTTAAAAAGATATAATAACAGGAGATATTTTTTTCGAAAGTCAAAAATGTTGCAATTACTTAAAATTGGTCCAATAATTTTCTTTCCTATAAAACCAAATTTCCTTATCCTATACAGAAAATAGGATTCTCTTTTCATTGTTCTAATCAATGCAATGACAAACGAATGTTATTAAAATCCAGATCTGTAGGTGCACAAAGGAAACAATAATTTAAAACATACGACATTATCAGGACACATATCATTTTATTTTAAATCGCAAAATACATTCATAGACATACAAAGTTTTGTGTTTGATTTTAAAAATAAATTTTGAAATAATCAGACAAATGAGTGAGTTGCAAACTGACAATGATATAGGTGATGCAGACTCCGATGACGGCAAAAGGCAAATGGATATTGAGAGGTACAAAAGAGAGGTAGAGGTACAAGAGGTGCCGACAAATTGTACATTGAAATGGGCGCAGGTTTATATACTTAAGTACGATATTTAGTTCGAAATGTATAACCTCATCTGTAACAAACCTCTGTAACAAAGTTTATGAATCAAAATTGTAGCTTTCATGTATTTTATTTTAATTTACAGTAAAGATAAAAATGTAACCAATTTGCATGCCAATAATGGTAAATGTGCTGATCTAAATATATTGTATGTAACAAAAGTCAAAAAAAGTCAAAAGTCAAAATCATTTATTTCAATTAGACCAGTAAGGCACTTTTGAACGTCAAAACAAAATATTTAAATATTAAATAATAAGAAAAAAATAAAAAATGTCAGTCTGTAGGTCAGTCCTCTAGTGAAGCTATTTGCTCGTTCCAAAGTGTAGATTCCTATGGAGAAGAACGAGCAAGAAACTCCATAGGTTACTCTTTTTCAATCATGTTCACAATACAATTTTTGGTTACATTCTTCCGTTGAGTTCAATAATGTGAGAACAATGTAATACCAATATTTGGTCAAGGAGACGGAAAAAGAAAATAACCTTGAGGACAACAAATTTAATACAGTCTGGAGCTGACCAGTCCCATTTGACAGCGCCCGTTCACGAACATGACACGTACACCAGCACCGCCCAACTCGACCATGTTATAGGGAATCGAGCGATCCACTGCCCGTGCCACTGCCAATGAGACTTTTGAGTGAGCATGACAACTCCAGGCTGACACACATGCATTCTACTAGTCTAATTTAATTTAGGTAGTTACAGGGCTCTCACATTTACAATAGTTACCTATATAAAGTTTTACAGTGTGTGCATTTGAACAAAATGGCTGTATTTGACATGATTGGAACTCATTGGAACATCAATGTTTTTCGCTATCCTGTGGAGCCGGACCAGCATGCCTCCAAGCATTTTTATACTCTATGTAATCATTAAGTTTGTAGTATGCTTTTCCGCATAACGTTTTTTTAACATATAATTTAAATTTTGACTCATTTAAATGTTGTATTTCCTCCGGAATTTTATTATGGCATTTAACACAGAATCCCATAAAGGACTTTTGTACTTTTGTCAATCTACTAACATCTATATCATGTACCACATTGAGCAAATAAAGAATTATTATTATTATTATAAACAAAAGTCAAAGTCAAAGTCAAACCATTTATTTTAATTAAGCCTTAATTAGGCATTTTTGAACGTCAACAACAAAAATTTAGAAGTTAAGCTAGTTGCTCATTCCTAGGTGTAGATTCCTATGGAGAAGAACGAGCAAGAAACTTTATAGGTTACTCTTTTTCAATCGGGTTTACAATACTGTTCTCTAGTTACATAGTTTAGTACAACATATTGAATTTAGCTATATCTTCATAAAAGTATCATAGTTCTTACTATAGGTACAATAATTTTATAAAGAAGTGGAATTCAAAATATTCATTTGTTTTATATTTATATTAGTTTACATCTGTGTTGTTATATCAACAGGGTCACTTAAATTAATAACTTTAATTATACAAATGAAAGTAAGATAACAATATTAATATTAGAACAATCGTTTAATTTATTTAAACACCACATGTTTATCTCTCCCGCCTAACAGATGGCGTTACAAGTTAGAGGCTACAGAAATAATAACTTAAAGGGAGTTTTATACCTATTTGTTAAAAATATTAACAAAAAACGTTGCAAACGGTATTCGGTACTTAATTGATTCCAAGACATAGTTTTCTAAACAATAAAAGTAAAAAATAGTGTTCTACTTTTTATGTGTATTCATACATATGATATGTACGTAAAATATTTAGATAGTCAACACAATATGTCACAATATTTTTATTTAGTAGAACAAGGATTAAGTAAATAGAGTAAGCTGTAGTAAGACAATAGTGTAGGTAATGCAGATGCCAGCGACGGAGAATGGAACACGAAGGTTGAGGGGTATAACACGACATATTGTATATTGAAACGGACGCAGGCTCACGTACTGCAACGCTGTCTCCAGTTCGAATTGAAGAGACTCATCTGCAAAAAACATAACTAGTTACAATAGCCGCTTAATTGTTACGTCGTGACTAATTCAGTTTTTGCACATACTAGAATAACAGAAGCTATAAACGATTTTTTCAGCGGTTAAGCTGGTCAACGAGCAGACGGATCACCTGATGGTAAACAATCGGCGTCGCCTATGGACACCTGGAACACCAGAGGCGTTACAAGTGCGTTACCGGTTTTTTTGGGGATTAGGAGTTTGAGGATTGTTGGAGATTCGGGGACTGAGGAGATTGGGGTAATTAGGATTCCAATAATTTTACACACACGATGAAACACAACGCAAGGGTTGTTTCACGTCAGTTTTCTTTGAAACCATGGTATCACTCCGATCGAGCCGGCCCATTCGTACGAAAGCGTGACTCTTCCTCATTTAAATTATCATACCTGAGGCTTTTAGTAACTGAATTGTGAGTATTTTCTTAATTTCATCCACTTCTGACGTAGCTAACTCCACGACTATGGCTGGGACGGCAAGCATAAATAAGGAATACACGCATTCCGTAGCATCAGTTAATAATATTATTTTTAAACTCTGAAAAACATGTTCTTTATTACATAAATGCTATAGACGCAACGTGATGATCCATTTCGGAAGTAGCGCTATGTACCTAAATCAAACTTAATAAGTAACAAAATGGCAATTCCCGTAAAAATACAGTTTTACTTACCGTACTAAACAGCTGAGTGATTGTGAAGTAAACTAACAGTACCACCTTTACACCATTTTTCAACCAATTGATTGATAACTGTAAAATAGAAAAAAAAATACTGAGCAGAAATACTAACTGATTAGAATAAGATCAATATTTAGTATAGAGGTACTTACCATTAACTGAAGCTGTATGTCAGCAACCATTAAACTGTCTAACAAACCATTATAGTAATGCAAGCTCTTTTTCACATTTCTAATGGTCATATCAATATCATTCCTTCCAGTAATATTAACAGAAACAGAATTAGATTGTAGCAATATTTTCAAAGTTTTCAAACGATTTCTCAATATTACAAAGACAACAAAAATTGATAAAAAGTTTAAATCAACGACAATCAATACGTATGTTACAGCTAAAAAATTTATCCAATAAAACGCACCTAATATTGATCGTACAATTATACTTAATAATCTTATAACAGAAATTAAGACTATCATAAAGAATACGGAATTGGAGAGTACTGGTGTATTTTTGAGTCCCAAAATCCTGTCTCTAGCAACGACATCATTGATGAAGCTTCGCAAATAATTATCGCCATGAAATAAGTTGATGATTATGACACAAAAGTATTCCATGACGACACAGAAGAAAGAGGTAGTGAAGTGGAAAGAGAAGTTATCAGTAAACCAGGTGAATAAAATCATACCGCTGAAGATGCAATATATTTTTAAAATATAGCAAATTAATCTTGAAGAACTTATATTTGTGTAAATACCGAAGCAAAGACGTAATATGGACATAGTTTTTAGAAATATCTTAATTCGGTTTTGCATTTGACGCTGTAATTTTGGAATCATTTTGTATTAATACGAATGAGACTTACTGCCGTTGGTATCGGAGCTTCTATTTTATTGAGTGTATCTTTGGTATTCAATATCAATATTGTTGGACTTGTTTTAATACTGATTACATTTTTATCGAATCTCCATATCTGTGACAGCACGAAGGTAAACATTAATGCACTATTTTTTATTAATAAAATTGGTCGATTTAAATGTACCTACTGTGTAGGTGCATACTAACTAATGAGGATATAAATAATACACGTCTGGATGTCAACTCTATATATTCACGACTGGTGTATAGAAACTTACGAGGCGGGCGCAGCCGCCACTAAAGTGCGATCTCAGCATTCTGTGAATGCGTACATATTATGTACGCAAATTTTGATATGTGTGATATGTTGAATTCACATATTTTGAAATGTGTCCCTACATACTGGTCTGTTTATTGTTAAATAGATACTAGACTGAAGATAAATAATATATTCCTAGGAAGAACTTCTAAACTTAAAATTATTTGTAATGATGTTTGTCCACGGCACATCATAAAGTCATTTTATTAAATAACATCAGGCCACTACTAGCCAAAATTGATAGTATGTTTTTGCTATCCAAACAAAATAAGAACACATTAGAATGCAATATTCTAGGACTTTTTTATGGACTATCATATCAGATCACATTTTGCAAATAAAAACTATCCGAATAAAATTTTATCAGCATAGTTTAATATATTTTGAGTCAATTTATATATTTGTGAAATTATTGAAGGTGTAGACATTTCCTGCATTGAAATGTGTGAGCTGCAAAGCTACAATGACATAGGTAATGCAGAAGCTGATGACGGCAAATGGCAGATAGATGTTGAGAGGCACAACGCGGCAGATGTCGTATCGGAATGGACGGATATTCACATACTGCAGTGTTGTTGATAGCTCGAGTTGAATAGATTCATCTGGAACAAATATTTTACGATAGAAACTTATTATTTTGGTCTTAGGGTTTGATATAAAACTCGAAGTATATCATCCCTTGTAAACCAAGATGAAACAAGACCGAATCCTATTCTGTTGTGTCGATTACTGAACTTTCATACGACTCGACCCCATCTTTTTTCTTATATATAAAATAAAGTATTTTTTGTAACTTTGGTAAATTATGTGCTTTTTGTCAATCTACTGGAATTTTAACTCGTTGAGTACCGCTATTATAGACACAATTATAGAACAATAGGTTGCGGTCATCGGTGACCGCTTGGTGTTTGACAGTTTAAGGTGTATTTTATTTTTGATGGATTGTTTTGGTTTTACACAATTTGTAATTTACCTAAGGTCCTCAGTTGTTGGGTGGACAGTGTCGTCTTCATTTCATCCATTTCTTCCATGGTCGCTATTATAATACCAGCTTGACTACTCATCTTCAAGAATGAAGTAAACATCTCCAAAAAGGTTGACGTCACTAATACCTGTGGAGTCTGCAACATAAAAAAGGTCGAATTCACATTAAGCAAACGCTATGGAACGTTTAAAGTTAAATACTAATAAGGTTAGTACCTTACCTGTAGTAAATGATTTCTGACCACATAATAAGTCGAAACAGTTAAGCTTAAACTTTCTGTAAACCAAGTGATGGTGATCTAAAAACAAATTCTTTAATAGTAAAACGATCAATGCCAATTGTGAGAAAGTATAATGATGAACAAAGGTAGGATGAGTGATGAAGAAAGGTTGATGAACAAGTAGGTACAGCACACATCGCCGCACCTACTTTTTAGTTTTTAGATAGCCGTTTTCTGATCACAAAATTAATAAAATATTTACCAAACATTGCAACTGTTTGTCCAACCGTTCAAAGAAGTTCAACAAATCATTATAATATTTCAAACATTTCCTTATATTTTTAACACAAATTTCAACTTCGTTCCTTCCAGTAGTGTTGATATAAACAGAATTTGATGCCAAAAATATCCTCAACGTTTTCATTCGATTATGCAACAGTGAGAAAACTAATATGGTTATATAAAAATTGATGTCCAAACCAGCCAGAGTAAATATTACAATAAAAAAGGTATTTCGATGTTGAAGTTTATAAAAATAATGAATGAGTGTGATATTTATTCTTATGAGACTATTGATTATCATGATAAGCCACACAAAACTGGTGACAGAAGGCAGTTTCTTGAAGCCAATGATCCTGTCGATAGTTTTGATACCATTGATGAACTCAAAAAAGAGATCGTCACCATATTTTATATAAACAAGATTGATACACGTGTATTGAATGACACTGAGAAAGTAGATGGACGCACGAGCGTTTTCGTTATACCAATAGATAATTATAAAAGAAAAAGAAATAAAAAGACACAACAGTTTGAGCACATAACAAATTGGTTTTGATTTATGAACGTTCGAGTAGTTGCCAAGAATCAGACGGAGTATTGATGTGTTCTTCAACAGCCACTCTATTGGCATTCTTTTATTTGTGAAATATTTTGAATTTGGTATCATGTGGATGAGAGCTGAGTCACAACTGCCTTTTGTTTGTACCTAGTGTAACGTTGTATTGATCTGTGGTTATCGAGGTCTATAAATATCATTTTCATATCCATAATTTCATCAGTTTTCATGTTTGTCCTTCGTTTTTCGATAGGTGATGTCTAATCGAATGATTAATGTAATAATAATAATTTTATTTATATTTTTTACAGAAACCGATGTTTTCTTAAAATGGTTATTGAATATAACATAACATCGCGCCTTTTATCCCCGAAGGGGTAGGCAGAGGTGTACATTATGCCACTGTACAATGTAACACCCACTTTTCACCATTTATATTATGAGTCCCATGTAATAAGGGGTGAGCCTATTACCATATACCGGGCATAATTCCAGACTCCGTGCTACTACTGACATTTTTTTATAACCCAGTAATACTTTACCCGACCCGGGAATCGAGCCCGGCCAACGAGGCAGACATTTATATAGGCATTGTTATTGAAATAAATAAAAAACAATAATAGTTTGATTGACAATTTATTCGATGCTTGGTTGGAGAGAGAATTTTAATTAAGGAAGTGTGTGAGTTGCAAAGCCACAATAATATAGGTGATACTGAAAGCGATGACAGAGAACGGCAGATAGATAGTGAGACGCACAACACGACAGATATTGTATTTGAATGGACGAAGCCTCATGTACTGCAGCATCGTTGCCAATTCAAACTGTATAGACTCATCTGCAAAGAAGAAAAAGAACATGGTCAGCAAGCTAAAATTGGACAATGAAAAGAATTGACAACTATAAACTGCACTATCATTAATATCAGTCACAAAATGTGTACTGTGAATAAATTTCAGTTGTTTTTTCTATGTAACAGGATGGCGTTTGGCCACCATCTTGCCTGTGAGCATTCACTCGGGACTTGAAGATATCCAACTTGTATTTTTCAGGAAACACAGACTCTGGCAAGAAATTACACATCTTAGCGGTTCACATTAGGAATCATGCAGATAAACTGGTTGTAAACCAACTACATTCAACATTAAACTGTCAAACACCAAGCGGTCACCGGTGACCGCAACCTATTGTTCTATAATTGTGTCTATAATGACGGTACTCGACAAGTTAAAATAGATTTTTATTAAATTAGGTTCTTCTCGATAGCAGATATTTAACAAAAGAATTGTATAGAATACCTGAGCTTGCATACAATTGTGTTCTCAACAATTTCATTATACGATTCACTTCATGTACTGTAGCTTCCATCACAATTGCTTGAGCAGATACCATTATCAAGGCTTGACATACTTCTATGAAGAGTGATATCACCAGTGGTATAGAGACACGCTTTGAAAGAAATTTGAAAACAATATTAATAAAGATCATAATTGAGTTGTTGCAACCATTGGTGCCATGATTAGTGTATAGCCAGCTACGCAACGTGATGCATGTTTGAGGTTTTTTGATTTATTATAACAGCACTTTAAAACTAGCGCCCAACCCAAACTAATCTGAAAAAGGGAATAAAGAACAAAGTTTCACCACTAACATCGCTGGAGTAGAATACAATAAGTTGATAAGACCATACGATTATTCTCGATGTTTGCACAATCCAAGTGACGATTATCTGTAAAGAAATGAAACAGAATTTCAAGTAATATAAAAATTTTGAATACGAATTTTTGTTAATATTAATACATCTATTTACCATAATATAGTGCAGAGCCTTGTCGACGGAGAAGAATTCATCCAACAGATTTCCATAATATTTTAAACATTTCCTTATAACTCCAACATTGAGTAAAACTTCATTCCTTTCAATCGTATTCATTGAAACCGTTTTTGGTTCCAAAAACAATCTCAATTGTTTCATTCGGTTTTGCATAATCGAGAATATTGTTATAATTGTTAAAGTATTGAAAGATATGACGGCGTAGACGTAATTGGGCATTAAAGAGATATTTTTGAATCCAACAATCCTATCATTAGTTTCAATTGCACTGAAGAACTTAGAGAAAAGTTGATCACCATGACATAAGTAAATCATACTAAAGCAAATATTCTCCAAGATGCTGATGATGTAGAAGGATATAAATTGTTTGGTACAAATATCCCACAAGTAAATAGTAGTGAAAGAGGTGCAGATGAGGATACAGTAGAACTTTACCAAATTACTGATACACTTTGAGTCACTGATATTGGAATAATGCCCCAAAATAAGGCGACTAATGGGCATTATTTTCAATAGCCAAAGCGAAGATGGATATCTTATTCCAGTTGTTTTTATAACCATCTCGTGTAGGTTTAACAGAGCTCTCCCGCCTGCTTGTATCCAGAACCTTCTTTCGACTGGATATCATGACATCCATTAATAGTGATATTATGGATACAGTTGATCGGTAGATACGATTCATCAATTAATACAAATAGTAATAGTACTAATCAATATCATCAGCTACATTTGTTCATACAGTTGAAGATGTCATGTCGACCAACTGACACAATGCACAATTTAAAATATTTTATACAAAAACGTACACCATCCAATTGGCTTCTAAGGTTGCTGGTTATATTTCGACTGCTACTCAGCAATTACACAAACATAAGCGAATTAAGAACTAAATGCTATTTGTTAAAATTCTACTGCATAATTATATTTCTTTGTGTCAGCCTTATTTACCTTTATGATATCCTTTTTCGATATTCCATTAGTATTTTTTCTCTCGGTGTCTTTGAATACATGTTGTGTGCCATTGTCAACTTTATTTATGGTGACGAGTTCTTCTTAAAATTTATCAGTATTATCGAAATTAACGACAGGATTATTGGCTTTAAGAGAATGTCTTTCTTTACAAAATATGTGTGCGTTATCACAGTTAGCAATTTCATCATTAGACTATTTACCAGCATCACTCACACTATTGTTGACCCTATTCCTACAGTAGTATACATTACTGTCACGTATTCTTTACTGTCTATTGATAGTAACCATATTGTTAACATATTAATTTTCTCGATAATACAAAATCGAATGAAGCAGTTACAATTATTTTTGAAGCCGAATTCTATACACGTAAATATTACTGGACAGAATGAAGTTGAGATCGACATCAAGAATATAAGAAAAAGTTTATTCTACTATAATAATCTGTTGGACAATTTGAGAAGTATATCGAAGCCGTTACAAGTTTTGGTAAATAATCTTTTTATCTTACTGAATAGACCGTTATATGTTTAAAATAGTGTGGTCAAGTAGTTTATTTTTTTTTTGCTAAATATTGTTACTTTTTTTGTTTCAGCTATTTATCAATTGGACCATACATTCTGTAAAAATATTGTTATTGGGTTTTGCCATAATTTCATTGACGTTTAAGGTAAGAAGATTATTTGATAACAACTGGATAATGTTTGTTTCACTATTCTTTCTTTTTTTCTTTCTTCTATCTATATTTTCGATGGGCGGACGTTTGGCCACTATCTCGCCTGGTGAGAAGGGATGATGCAGTCTACAATGAGGCACGTCGACCCATAAATTTCTTCCCCCGCCAGTTGACAAAAATAACACAAAAGTTAAGTTGAGTGCTTTTCTGATTTTGTTGTTATTTTTAGGTTAGCAATAGTTTTATTCTCGGATTGTTGATGGAGGTAATGCAATCTTTAATAATGATATCCAGTCCAGCCATTATAGCAGAAATAACGGCTAACCATGTGAATAACATTAAACAAATGCTCAGTAGCAAACTATTGCAAACATCAGGTACGTATTCATTATTAGAATCATACGTTAACTTACGATGATTATTCCCTTTTTCCATAGGTACCTTATATTCATTGAGGGAGATAACTAAATCCCATTTTTCGTCAGTTATATGCAAAACATTGAACATAATGTCAGAATCGAGATCACCATCAAAAATAAAGCCTTCTCCTTATGAGAGAGTTTGCTGATAACTCCACATTTGGAGTTGGGCAATCCAAAGTTTCGATGATGCTGCTCCTACGGCGGTTGGTGTGAATTTTTCAGCGCAGTAATCTGGCGTCAGTCTGGCCCATCAGTTTGCTCAGAATGACGGGAGATTTATCGCCTAACCAGTTGACTGACGGACTGATGGTCCAATATGACAAAAATAAATATTTTAGATATTTTTTATCATTCCGTTATGAATGACAGCAGACTGATGCCAGTCTGAGCGTGTAACCTACGTTGAAGGTTAATCTACGTAGACACTATGTTAGTCTAATAGTAGTTCAGTAACGAAACAGTTAAAACATTACTTTTTTTGCTTACAGATGAATCTCTAGTATTTGAGCTGGAGACAACCCTACAGTACATGAGTCTGCGACCTTTCCACTTCTCTATCTGTAGCGTCGTGACCCTCAATATCTACCTGCCCTTTGTCGTGATCAGTCTATGTATCACCTATCTCGTTGTTGGCTTACAGCTTTCACATTTCATTATTTGAAATGTCAAGATATACATTTTCGAAAATCGTGGTTTTTGTTACTTCGTATTTGTTAAAATTATCTTTTTTCACTTCTAAATAATTAATTATTATTTTTAAATGAAACCATGAAATGTTCCTATCATTATATTCCAAACCAAGTAATGAATGTAGGTAATCATTGTTTTGTAGTTATCTTTCCAAAGATATTAATAGTACTAGCATTTTCATAGATCAATACTACGAACTGAACACTCAGTTGAAGCTCGCCTCTTGTCGAAATGATATCAAAGTTAAAACATTTAATAAACAAAAATATAACAGTAGAATGGCTGTTGAGGAAAACATCAACATTGCGTCTATTAGTTGGCTACTACTCAAACGTCACCAAATCGATATCAATTTCCTTTTTGTTAAGATTTTACTGTATAATAATTAATTTGAGTGTTCTATTTATTTATTTAAATGACGGTCGCTTGACTATTTATGTACTCAGCATCATTCAATATGCATGTACCAACGTTGTATACGTCAAATATGGCGACCATCTCTTCTTTGAGTTCATCAATGGTATCAAAACTATCGACCGGATCATTGGCTTCAAGAAACTGACTTCTGTCCCCAGTTTTGTGTGGCTAATCATGACTATGAACGGGTTGATTAGAATCATCGTCACCATCATTCATTCTTTTGTGAAATTGGATTCTATTTTTAGATTTCTTGCTGTATTGACTGCTTTGGTTGGTTTAGATCTTGTTTTCACTATAAACATATTGATTTTCTCATTGCTCCACAATCGAATGAAGAGGTTGAGAATGTTCTTGGAATCAAATCCTGTTCCTATCAACATTACTGGAAGGAATGAAGTCGAAATCTGTGTTAAGAATATCAGACAAACTTTGAATTATTATAGCAATTTGTTAAACATGTTCGGACGTATGGACAAGCAGTTGCAGTTTCTGGTAAATATTGCTTATTTTATAAAATTTTAATAATTTGAAAAAATTTGGTATTTATTCATCTGTTCTGTATTAATTATTGCTTATTAAACTACGGAGTAAAAGATTAAGTGAGACTTCATTTATTATTTATTTATTTATTTATTTATTTATTTATTTATTTATTTATTTATTTATTTATGTACACACATTCAACACAGAGGACAACACATATATAAAAACAGAGTACATAGGCCCCACATATTCCAACTGGAATATCTTCCTGTGGGCCTGTGGCAGGAAAAGATATAATAACACTGAGACACATAGTGTGTTACACAAACAATAAAAAATCTCTTCAATGTGTAATCATATTAGTTTAATGAAATAAACAAAAAAAATACTAATTTTATTTTATTGCAGGTTACCATAACTTTCGTTACAGAGAGTCTCAGGTTCACTTTATCAACTTTTGGCATTGTGAAATTTTATTTTGAAAAGGTCAGTGGTTTTCTACTTTTGTCAGTTATTATTACTTAGTGACTAAATAATAAATCTGTAAATAAAAATAAAATAGCGTTACTAGAGAAAGGTGTGGATTAAAAGATGATATAGGGACACAGGATTGAAAAGGGAATGTCACGCTGGACATGTAGAAATGATGGATAAAAGTAGAGTAACGAAAGAAGTATACAGAGCGGATATGAATGGGGCCGTCGGTAGAGGGTCCCCTAGACGGACATATACTAAACAGATTGGCGGTATATTAAAGAAGGGCCAATTTGAAAGTACCCTTAACTGAACATGCTTGAAAAGATTGATGACTGTTGATGAAGCGAAAGACGTACAGGCGTGAAGTTATGTATGTATGTATGTACTAGTTACTAATCTCTTTGTACACACAACTACA